TATGTTGTAAAATATAATTACAAAACCAAAAGTTATTCACCATTGTCTTTTACTGTTTTTGAAAGAATAATGAACTTGTTTGAATTTTAAACAAAATGACTGCATGCCCAGCCTTCGTTAGTTTCAGAAGGCTGTGGTCATAGTCCCAGTCCTCTGCTCGACCCTGACGTCCTGGCATAACGTTGACATCGTAAAACTTATGATTATTTGTTCAAAACGTTACCTAGCTCTATAACTCTATAATTAAAAAAAATCCAGAAAAAATCCGAACAAATCCAGAAAATCCAAACAAATCCGGAAAATCCAACAGATTTTCAAAAATCCAGAAAAAATCCGGAAAATCCGAACAAATCCGGAAAATCCAGCAAATTTTCTCTTCAAAAATCCGCTAAAAATCCGGGAAAAATCCGCTAAAAAATCCGCGGATTTTTAAAAATCCGAAAATCCCGTACGCTTTTTTGGAGTGAAATGCCCCTCGACAGGAGGAAACCTAAACTAAACTAACTTTATTCATACCTGATAGCTCTATCAGTTCTAAACTGTTCTCCATAGAGGTCCAGTAAGGCCCTGTTTACACTATACCGGATTCGCTGGTCACGAAATCTTCTTTTGCCGTTACGGAGCAATGGTTAGCAGCAAATGCTTATTAGTTTGACAGAATTGGCATGTTTATTTGGGTCTCTGAGATTAAAAATCTTCACAGCCTTTCGATACCTACAAAATTTGACGCACTCCGATAGCCATCCGGTATAGTGTAAACGGGGCCTAAGAGTCATCCCGTATTGATTCAGTGTTATTACAGGAAGAAACCTAAACTAAACTAACCGTTTATTCATACAGCCAGGATAGCTCTATCAGTTCTAAACTGTTTTCCCTAGGCCTAGAGGTCAGTAAGGATCGTCTCCGTTATTGATCCAGTGTTATTACATGAGGAAACCTAAACTAAACTAACTTTATTTCTACTCAATAGCCCCACAAGTTCTAGAGGCTAAACAGTTCTCCAGGCATAGAAGCCCAGAAAGACTTCTTGGAGTCAGTGTTACTACAGGAAGAAAACTAAACCGTAAAGTAAAGTAACTTAATTTATACTGGATAACTCTCTCAATTGGCTAAACAGTCCGCAGTATAGTCATGAAGGTTCAGTACTGAGTAAGGGCATAAATGCCCCAGTAATACAGGAAAACGGGTCAAAATGGCAACAATCATATAAAGCGCGTAATCCGACAATAATCAGCGTGCGGAAATACAGAATCTGAAAAACTTGAAAAGTTATGTAAATGTTATAGACTTATAGTTATAAAATATACAATGAAACGTTGCCAAATTTAGGCAGACGGTGTAAACAGTATAAAAACCTTGCCAATGCTGATTTGTATTGTTCATTTTGTTTCTTTCAAGTTTAAAAATATATTTTGCAAAAATAAACTTTTTTGCGTAAATAACGTTGGCCTGAAGTCATATGATCAATAATATGCTACGTGGTGCCCCAGAAACCCCAGCGGGCAGTGTGCCAAAATGGCGTCCTCGACACGTACGTACAATTTGTTGTTATTTTTTAATCGTCCAAAACAACAAATATTTTAGTTTGAATACCTAGAAAATCTTCTTAATTCTTAATCTTGTCATAAATTAACTATGGATGGAGGATATAACAGCGAGGAGTTCTGCAAAGGTCAGTAAAAACGCTTGCAAATCGACGCTTCGGAATTCGAATCATTGTACCTTTAAAGATCGTGTAAACACGCATTTGGAATACGAACATTTCAACATTTGTGCTGAGCTTTTCTCGAATTTCAATTGCCTCAAGCTTACTGTAGTGTTTTACATAGAAAAGCTGCATCTTGGATGGCTTTTGCATGATTTTAAAAGTGTTTTATGAGTGTTTTGGTGATTTATTTTGACAGGAAAATCCGAGAGCAAATTGAATTACAAACGGGGAAAACCTCCGGATAAACGACGCCATCAGCTGGAAATGAGTCACTACACAGAATTAATTCAAAAGAAGGAAGCTTTGTTCGTATCCTTTGCGTCATATTTGTACAGATATATTAGTTCTGTACTGTGTAATGTAATTTCTGGGCGACGATTTTGCATTTTTCATATTTTTTTACAGCGTGTCATGACTAATTATAGTTGGTGTTTAATTTGATTTCCCATGGTGATTTATTGTTTTTAAGATCATAATAATGTTTGATAAGGTTATCAATGTCATCATGGTAGGTAGATAGAGTTTTGAATTCTTGAATTGCTTAGCAGCTTTGAATGCAACCAGGGGTTATTGAACTTTTTAGTCGAAGTCAAAAATTTGATGTTTTGACTTTGATTTAAAGAATAATATATTATGGTTTTATAAACTGATAACTTGGTTAGTGATACGATCTGTTTGAAAAAACTAGAATTAGTTGGAAAATGAAAACTGTCTATGACCTTCATAGATTTTGGATGTCAATTTCTGCCATCTTGGCTTCAATAAAGGTCCATTTCCTCTCAAGCAAATTTTCCACGGACAGAGAACATTTTTTGAAAATATCATTGTTAAAAGTTGAAATTTTCAGCTTCAAAATTTTTTTCCAAAGGAAAATTTGTGTCGGCTGATCACATTTTACAAATTTTCACTCCCGCGGAAAATTTTCTTGGCCAGGCGATTGTGCTATTCTTGAAGCTTGATGACTGCATTTCTTGCGTTTTCTGAAGCAAATTTGTAAAAGAATTGCACTAACATTTCTGACAAAATTTCGCTATTTTGCCAAGGCAATCCTTTAAATTGAAAGGGCACCTTTTCCCCCCTTACCCCTCCTGGTAAAGGGCAACTGGGGTGGCTGCCCCTCTTGCCCCCCAGTTCCGGCGGCCCTGGACGTCATAATGTCAGTCGACCGAAGGTTTGACTTTTTAACGATAATTTCCAGCGTAACGTGTTACTACAACCAAAGTTTGTTAAAACTGTTCGTGGCAAAATATTGCATTAAAACGCGACGTGTATCAACGCACAATGTATGTAATTTTGAATGTGCATATTTTCTCAACAATTGGTTTAATTTACACAATCAGAAATACAGATATTTTACTGATTCCGATTGTCTACCGATAAGGCAAAAATCAGCCTGATGCTGATACCAATTATTGGTCCGTCACTACTTGGCTTCTCTTTATTGTACTTCAGATATAAGAGCTTATACTGGGTCTAACCCCGATTTCATAATGAAAACATTATCATGACAAAAAGCGCTGTCCGAAAACCAAATTGGTGTCTAAAAGACCAGTACATGGGCAGCTGGTTTGCTAAAATGATATTGCTTAACTTATTCAAAAGAAATCTTTATATGGTCCGAAATCAAGAAAATCCACGTCATCTGTCCATGGCAGTCGTGATGAGCTGTTGGCAAAACTTCGGGTTTTGAAAAATGAGAAAGAAGAGAAATTGAAGCAGAAACAAGTGATCGATGCTGAGATAAAGACTTTGAACCAACAAGTTGTCAAGAAAGTAAGTTGGATCTTCTTGAGTGTGGATTTCACAGGGTTTCAATGGTTGATCAAAATCAAAATGGCGGCGAGTAGTGTTGCGTTTGCCGAATATGCATGTGTATTCGCCTAATATTGAAAGCTGATTGCCTTTCCTGTGGACATCCAGGACACCACGCCAGGCTTCTTTGTTGTAACGTACTGTATCTAAAAGATTATAGTAACTCAGTGATGCAAATATTATATAAAAAAATATTTTGCATCGTGTGTTTTCTTTTGCAGAATGAGACATGCATGAAGCTACAGGCGAATGTGAAATACAAAGATGAACAAAGAACTAACAATGCAATCAAGTATGTATGTTATCAAAGTATTGTGCATTAGGGCACAATAGGGCAACTTAATTATTATATTTGAAATTGAACCTCTTTTATATCTCACTAGAAATTTGGAGAGACATTTGAATACACATCAGCTAAAGCTTAGTGAAGAGAAGAAATTAGTGAGTGAAATTGATGCTTTGAAAAGATCAAAGAAAACATTGAAGTGAGTGTTCCTATGAGATGAGTATAAGACTTTTCTAACAATCACAAAGATATCGATGAATATTTCTAATTGCATAGTTTGGAAAGGGGCGCCGCCCTATCTTCTCTTTTTAAATTTGCCCCTGCCCCCTTTTTACCAATATCCCTCTTTTTCAAAACTTCCCCCCCCCCACTCCCCCCTTTATGACAACCTTTTGAAAGAGCAACATTTCACAGGTTAATTTAAGGCTTGCAAATGGCATGGAATTATTAATGCTTATTGTATGTATTATCCAAATCCCCCCTGAAATTTGGTAGTTGATTTTATCCACTTTGAAAAGACATCTTACTCAGCAATCTTCACACCCCCCTCTTTTAACCAACCCACCTCTTTTCACCAACCCACCTCTTTTCACCAACCCACCTCTTTTCAGTAACCCCCCACATTATTACACAAAGTTTTCCATTCGCCCCCTTTTGAGTTGGTTTACCCCCCCCCATGCCCCCTTGATGAAGGGGAAGAGAACTATGAATTGTATATATGTAAGGTCTACTTCAATATTGTTCTTTTTCTGTAGTGAATATTTAAGTGCGAAACAAGAGGTTGATCAGTTAAGACAACGACAAAGTAGATTACGAAATGAGAGGGATGTAAGTATGGCAAAATATTGTGAATTAAATTTCTTAGTTTGCTATATGTTCATAATCTTAATATGCCTCATTGTGAAACTCGTTCATAATTCATGAATAAAATACAAAAGAAATCATGAGCGTGAAGGAGTGTGTATATCTGATACAAAATCATGCTGATTCACATAAACTTTAAGTTCAATTTTCTCACAAAATATTATTCATTTATTTTATATTGTTGAAGAATACGAATATTCTCATCAAGACGTTTCACAAGCCATTTACAACATTCTTGTCCGTGTTGTAAACAAAGTTTATTTAGTAATTTCTTATTAAATCCATAAATGTTTTCCAGATTTTGATTCGGGAAACTCATGACATCAAAGCGAGGGAAAATGACGTGAAAGTATCCCTTGATTCGTTGAAAGAAGAAAATATGGAGAAAGGCAGTGAAGAAACGAAACCTGTCATTGACAGGGAGGTTTTGAAGAAAGGTAACCAACAATGTTTTGAAAATGTTTAGAGGTTGTCAAGTCTGTAACAAGTCGTGATATTTCAAATTTTTTCGATATCTTGTAAAATTTGATAGGTGGTTTTTTCAGTGTTATATTAAATTGCTGTAGACTTTGATTTTGTTCCAGTAAACGGAATTTTACGTATTAATATTTTTTATTTCACTGCATCTTTCCCCAGAAATTGATAGTTTATACGAGCAACGTCGTGAACTTCATGAATGTCACAAACAAGCGCTAGCAAATTATCGCGAAGAGCAGAAACAGATTGAAAAAGAAAGGCAACAGATGAAAGCAGAACAGAGACGAAATGAGACAAGGTTGACGAAAATCACAGCTGAGAGAGCAAGGTTAGCTAGATCGTGTTAATAATATCGTTGTTCTGTGTTTGAATATTTACTAGACCATAGGCTTAGTAAAAAATATTTTAATAATTACGTTTCGGAGACTATAACTTATTTACTCCATCTTCAGGTTAAAAGTGAGATTTTGTCTAAATTTATAAGTGTTTTTAACAAACTCATGAGGGAAGTAAATTCATGAGGGAAATACAAAAGAAATGAATGTTTAATCAATGTTTGTAAATCGGATAAAGATTTGTCCTGATTTACATAAACTTCAGCTTTGATTTTTTCCGCTTAGACAATGTTTATTTTTAAAATTACTTCGCCAATAAACTCATAAGATGGGTCGTTTTTTAAGCATCCGATCCGATATATCAGATAAAGATCGGATGCTCATGTTTTAACTTACTAGTACTTAAAGTTGTTTTTTTATATCTTTAGTCACTTTTAACTTGAAGATGGAGTTATACTGCGAAACGTAGTTATTAAATTTTGTTTTTACTAAGCCTATGGTCTAATTATTCAAACACAGAATTACTAAAATGCGGCTTAGAGAAAGTTCCGTCATACAAGAATATCGTTGTTGTTGTTAACACTCGTGCGACTGAAAAATATGTCGAGGATTTTTATGCTTTAATTCTTTTGGAGAGTTACTGCAGTATAAGCGACATGAGGATTTTGGGTGTCTTCCTCGACAAAATTAAATTTTCTAAGTGGAAATTCTGAGTGTATATTTTTATTCAATCACTGAGAAATTATTTTGTGAATATGCAATAGTGCTCATAGATGTTAGTGTGTTTCAATTTGTGCAATTTTATCTTGCTAGACAAGACAAACGACACATGCCGACACACAAACCTCATGAAGGAGAAAATGTGTCTGTCTGTGTTTGTCTTATTCAATATTTGGAACCGTTGATTGTGCAATGTTCATGTGACGATGAAGTTGATGGAAGGAAGTCTCCAAGATATCTTGACGGTAAGTTGGAAATGGTACTGAGGTTTAAATGTGTGGTGTGGTTAATAAGTTAACTATGAGCAAATTAACATCATCATTATCATCATGATCATCGTGATTATCGTGATCATCATCGTCGTGATCATCATTATCGGCATCATCATTATCACGCCATCGTGCATCATCATCACCATTCTTTTCATTTTTTACTGGGCGACTATGAAACACTGTGTTTTACTTTGTAGTACCAAAATGTGACGCAATTATACCAGAAGAAGGATCATTCGCAATGAAGCCCGATGATAATCTTGGTGGACTGTTCGTTCCATCAAACCGCAGGATGACCAGAAAGGGAAGTAGAAAAGGACGGAAATCTAAAGATTTTTCACAGGTAAAACTAGATTCTAGAATTGTATAAATATTCATAGAAATGTTGGGTAGTATTGGAAATATTGGTCATATAATAATATAATGTTCACATTGTATATCAATAATAAAAATGTTCATTTTTAAATAATTATCATACTTTCAATATAATGCATATGTATTTTTTTCCAGAAACTTGTTTTGCATCCTCATGTATTTGAGCAGTTCCTCAAATTAAATCTTGAGCCGCCATCGACTTATGCTGATATCATCGGAATTTTGGAGAAACTTAGAGAGAAAAAGGTATGTTTCAAGCAGCTATTTCCCGCCACTAACCAAGATATGATAAAAATGCGATTTTTATCAGATTTCCTCTCAGTCATCAGTCAATTAGCATTTCTCACGCCTCCATTTTTGGGTGGCATTTCAGCCGAAATCTGCGAGATAAGTCGACATAACAGCGACTTTTTATAATTTTTTGGACGAATGATGGTAAATTTGCTTTATAAATGATTAGTTTATTTTGAAAAATTGCTTTTCACATTGTTTTTAATTGTCCGCATTGCTGAACGAGAATTAGATGCCACCCAAAAATGGCGGATATTCGTCATCGTGAGAAAGGCTAATTATCTTATTCGTGTTTTTGTTCATTTTCCCGACTGATTTGAATCTCTAGGATTTTTCAGAGAAACCTCCAGATAACCTTTTCTTTTTCTAGGATTTCTACGAGAGAGAATCGAGTAAATCCAATCAACCGCCGCTTGCGGTAAATTCAGAAAATTTGACCTCAAAAGCAACTGAGAAAAAAGATGTCCGGCTCGACGATGGTCTGCCTTCTCAAAATATCAGAGAGCAAACTGCTAACGAAGCGACAAAAGTGCAGGACGGTATGGAGGATAGTAAACATGGAATCGTTGAAGTCGAGCACGAAATTGCAAAGATCGAGCACGAAGTGGATGAAGTTCAACACCAAGCTGTGAAGGACGAGCACGAAACAGAACAAACTAAGCAAACCGAACCCGAAGTCGACCAACCTCTGCACGAAGCGGAGCAAGCTGAACACGAAACGGAGCAAACTGAGCACGATTCTGACCAAACTCAGCACGAAAGTGAGCACGCTGAGCACGAAAATGAACTGAAAGAACACGAAGTGATCAAGAATTTGGACGAGAAGGAGAAACTCGTGCACAAAGATGTTGACGACAAAGAGATGGATGTTTTCAAGAATGAACGAAGTTGTTGTAAAGGTGAAGAAATTGCTGCAGAGAATATGCTAAATAAGACAGAAGGGAAAGAAATTAATGAACTCTCGTGTAATGAAGACAGTAATAAAGACGTACTGAACAGTTTAAAACGTTCTTCAATCATCACAGATACTTTGGAGAAAGGCATGGACAGTATTCATATCAAGGAATCTTCACCGGAAATTCAAGTCCGTGTCACGTGACACACCAATGACATTTTGGATAATTTAATGTCGAAGCTGCAGGGTCGGCTTTTAACTGGAATTTATGCTACCAAATCTCATTTGCATTAGGCCAAAAAAATGTGGGTTTCCTATTTCTTCTTATAAAAACTTAGGTAGGGTAGGTCGGTTTTAACTTTTTTTTAAAACTTTTTTAAAGACAACCGGACGCCATTTTGTTTAGTCAGTGCTTCCACATCCAAAGATAAATTTCTCTAATATTTCCTCAAATTTCAATTTTCCACAAATGTTTTCCTTTAAGTGGAAACACTTACAAGCATGATGCAATAAAAAAGTTTAGGGTCGGGATTTCGACGTCCAAAAGCTAGGTAGGGTCGGGAAACCGGAAACCCACATATTTTTTTTTGCCTTATGAGAAAATCTTATTGTTTTTTCTCATTATGCAAATGACTTAGGGCTCGAATTAACGCGGCCTACAAATGACAGATCGTCATGCGAAAAAGCAATTTTGAAATCCATTGTAGGCCAGAAAAAATTCTTAATTCGCACCCTGATTTACCTAGGGTGGCGAGTAGTAATTCGCACCCTGATTTACCTAGGGTAGGTTCTTTGGAATTAGTTTTAGTCTTTGTAGAATATATAGTCGAGTATATAAAGTTTTTTATTTGTGCTTTCTAAAAGAGGCTGTGCCACTTTTGCGAAATAAGCTGTTTGTGTTCTTTTTTATACAGTTGAGTTCATTTCTATGATTTAGTTTTTTACACTCGAACGAAATCATCAATGTCGGAGTTTTTAATGGAGAATACAGCTATTGGTTTAAATAAGGTCATATCATTATATGTCGTACAACAAATGTAATAGTATAGCCGTGGCTGGAGCCAGCGGATGTGGTGCAGAGCACTGTGAGAATGAAATATTTACGAATTGTATTATGTAAAAGGCAGTTTGTAAGGTGCAATAAACTGAATAAACTGTAATTTTGAATTTTTCATTTTGTCCGTCTTCGGCATAACCATTCAACTTGGATGTTTATACCGTTGAACGTCTTGCATGCTGTTGAATGTCTTCAACTTGGATAGTTATGCCGTTGAATGTCTTCGGCATAACCATTCAACTAGGAAGACAGTTGAATGTCTTCGGCATATAATTGAGCGGTTCAGATTTGACTTCCACTACCACTCACTGGCTCAGTACCCATCTGATTGGTTAATTGGGCAGGTTAAATGCATCTGATTGGTTAATTGTTGTGGTGGTGAAATCTGCACCATTCTAATGGAGAAACTGATGTTGATGAAGAGCGAAGGAAGGAACGAACGATGGGTGGGAGTTGGGGATGAGGGAGGAAGGGAGGGAGGTGGAGGAAGGGAGAATGATGGGAGGGAGTTGAGCTGTAAGGAGGGAGGGAAGGGGAAAATGATGAGAGAGAGGGAGGGAGGTGGAGAATGATGAGTGGGAGTTGGGAAGGAGGGAGAGAGGTGGAGGTAGGAAGGGCAGAATGAAGGGAGGGAGTAATTAGGTAGAGGAGGAGGTAGAGGTAGGAAGGGGTGAATGATAGGAGAGAGATAGGAAGGAAGGGGAGAATGATGGGAGCGAGATAGGAAGGAAGGGGAGGATGGAACGGAGGAAGAGAGATAGAAGAAAGAAGGGGGGAAGAGGTGGAAAGTAGAGGGAAGAAGGAAAGCAGGAAGAAAAGGATGAAATAAACGAACGACGATGGGAAGGACTTAGAAAAAATAAACCACGCAGAGAGCTTGGACGACCACTGTGATGCAAAATATGCATGCCTGACCTGACCAATAGCCTAATGCCCAGATTACCTGAGCCTTTGCCAACACTGACTTCTATTCTACCTAAACCTGAACGTTTATTGCACTGCTCTCTTCCTTAATTAGTTGCCGCGACACCGGTCTAAACTGCCCTTCGATGAAGGGTCAGGAACGACAGAAACAAGGAACGTTGAGTTGTGTTTCTTCCAAATCAAAATGTTTCTAAAAAGAACTCCTCAAATTAATAATACCTAAATAAAAATATACTTAAACTAAAGGCTTATAGACTTCTGGGTCGTCTCCAATTTTGCAAAAATCTTTATTTTTCCCGAAGAAAGAACAAGAATTTGCAGCATCTGTGATCGAGTTGCAGTATATTTTATACGAATTCACCCGAAGCATCCCTCGCTATCCCTCAATCCCTCCCATATCACGTGACTGAAATCTTTCGGCGGGAAGAATTTCTGATTCGAACCGTCGCAGCCATGTTGGATGAGCGAAGTTTTACTGTGAATTTCTTGGCAAAACGAGCTTTAAAGACCAAAATTCGCTTCAAATTAGTAAGTATAGTAAGCCCTTGATACATAGGTATATAATATTTAAGTTGGAATGAAGGAATTTAGTGAATTTGCGGAGAAAGTAGCAAAAATGTTCATTGTCTGTTCGCGAAGGTATTGCGAAGCGATGTTGCCAAACATTCGTTTTCTAGCTCGAGAAACATATTTCAGTTTCTGAACAGTGCATTGTAAACAAATATAGGAATTTTTCTTTCATATGAGATCATAAAAGGGGCGTTCTACGGCACCAAAGCCGTAAAATATTTTGTTCAATTTTTGGCTACCTAAGCAAAGTCGCTTCGGCCATGCCATAAATGTCTGTCTTTTGTTTGCGCTCATTAATTTTCAAATTAACCGGGCTTGTTTGTCTAAACCTTTGGCTTTTGGCACGGAAATAATCGTAGAGTTTTATTTATAGCTTTTCTAACATATTCTAATATTTACAAGAAGAAAATTCTCCCAGATAACACATTTTGCAGAAGATTGGTAAAGGAATTTTGCTATATTTTGTACATAAATTTTGGAAGCGGAATTCAAAGCCTTCACAATTCAAATGTTTACAATTATAGTGAAATTTTTTTCAAGTGGTTTCACGTTGTATTTTATATATTATTTTATAAATTTAACATATGCTTTGACACCTTGAAAGTATTTTATGCTGACTTGGGCATGATCAATTTAAAAACAATTGTATTGAATTATAAGATACTTTACAATACACTGAAAACTACAGTTCTATTATTGTAATACTGTACTCAAATTCAAACAGTATTCTTTTGTATTTGTCTTGCCTGGAGCAAGTTAAAATTGTTATTTGATTGCAGTATTACATGAATTGGTACATTTGCCTAAAAGAATTGCCCATCTTGTAGTTTATCTCCTTGTTGACAAACGATAACAGTGACATTTCAAGACTCGATTGTTTCTAATGTAAATATCTCGGCGAGTATTCACCCCCCCCCCCCCCCTTTGAAACGAAAAGCACCATTGAAATAGTCATAAAATAACCTTTTGAAAGGGGGGGGGGTTCAAATGCGGGCCGTCAAAACATTGCACAAACCAAAACAATTGTATATTTACTCTTTGTATTCAAGCGCTTTTATGTAGAAAGTTGTCCAGAGGGAGGGAGGGAGTGGGCTAGAATCCACTACTATAATAATAAAATGTACCAGGACATGCAAAGGGGGAGGGGGTTAATTTTGTATTTTCATTGTGGGAGAAGTGTGGATGTAATAATGCTCATGTCCTTGTAACCTTACATTGTGGACCCTTTCTTTCTCTCACCCCCTGAAACAAGTCTCTTTATATAGAGATTGCAATACTTCCCAGGCACTTTTAGAATGATTCATTTTGTTATAAGCTATTCTTCTTCCTTTAGGCATAGATCAGAAAATATTGGCCTTTGTTCCTTGTTGTTACCATTTCTTGTTGAAAGATGTTTTACGCAAACTTTATCCTGTCGAAGAAGGGCCCGTTGGCTCGTGTCTGGCTTGCTGCTCATTGGGAGAAGAAATTAAGCAAGGCTCACGTGTTTGAGACAGACGTGGAAACTTCAGTTGAAAGCATCATGTCTCCGAAAGTGAAAATGGCCTTACGAACCTCAGGGCATCTTCTCCTGGGTGTCGTTAGGATCTACTCCAGAAAAGCAAAGTACTTGCTTGCTGATTGTACCGAGGCTTTTGTAAAAATCAAGATGGCGTTTAGACCAGGTGTTGTAGATCTGCCAGAAGAAAGCAGAGAGGCTGCTATGTCTGCAGTTACACTACCAGAGGTTTTCAATGATTTTGATTTGCCTTTACCTGGTCTAAAGTAAGTATGGTTAATTCAGCATCGAACAATACTAGTTCTGCAAGTGTTGTACGTTCTGCAACTGTCTTCAATTTGTCTTGACCATGTAGCTCAGTTGGTAGAGCATCAATCTAGTTGGCAGGGCTCGAAATAACGTTCCCAACGTTCCCGATCACGGTGATCGGCAATCACGACTTTTTGCCGATCAAATAAAAATTTGGCCGATCAGGAGCATTTGCCCTCATTTCCTTGAAAAAGTTGTAAATATGCCAGTAAATACACATCTGAACAGGAACTGTTTAACTTCATTTCAAATTCGAGTTTAAATAATTAAATCTATGACATTTGTGGACTTATATAATTACAATATTGACAATACTAATAGTGTAACTACACTTAACATGTTGCAGTTATTAATAAACTTTAGTTTATTATAACACTTTTCAAGTTTTAATTATAGTATTGCATTTTTTCACACAAAAGCAAGAAACACAGCAGCATTATCAATTAAGAACTAAAACTTATTATTTAATATTAAAAGAGAAAATACTACTAAAAATAAAAAGTACTAAAAAAATCCTATCAATTTGAAATTATTATGACAAAGACCAAAGACGTTCGTCGTTAGTGGTTCGGATTGCAGACTGTTGAAGAGACGACAATACTTCATAGCATTGCGGCCTGTTGTATGACTCGTATCAACTAAACAAGAGTTTTTCGCGTGTTTTTGAATGTGTTTCATATTATTTTTATTTGTCTTTTACCGCGTACAGGTACTGTAAGCATGTCTTTCAGACAATGCAGGTCAAATATATTCTTGCCGATCAAGATGAACGGCAACGTTGCTTCTTCGCCGATCAAAAACAATTTCCTGCCGATCATTGATCGTTGATCGGCCGTTATTTCGAGCCCTGAGTTGGCAATAAGAAAGTTACAGGTTCGAAACCCAGAAGTGGTAGGCAGCATTTTCTGCTTGAGTGCTGTCTGGAAATTATGATATATCTCACTCGAGAACATTTTCTCCTTATCATAATACCAAGTGAATAATAACACAAAATAATATAGTATTTGTAGTATAAGGTTGTATGCCACTTTTTCTCAGTTTTATATGCGTTAATTTAGTCTACTACAAACTATACACCTGACATTAATACAACATGCAATATCCTGTGAAAATGCTCACAGCCAGTTTGATGTTTTAGTGATTTTGATATCCAAGTGCAGTTCAATCTGAACCAATGCCGTGCAGAAGAAATAACAATGAAAGAAGATTTCATCATAATGCATGCCTTTGAAGACGAGGGATTTGGAGACACTCCATTCGGAGCTAGCGATGAGAAAGAAGTCCTTCGAGGCGGCTCTGCTTTGGATGATTCCTCCTTCATACGCTCAAAAGATCAATCCAATATACTGTTGGACGAGTCTAATGTCAAAGATGGTTCGACGGTATCTGATAAGCAAAAACTAGGTACATATGAACATTTAAACATTTTGTTTAAATTTGGATTGAGGATTGAAATTTAAATTGAAATTTAAATTTAAATTTGGATTGAGGTTTTTCCACAAACATCGATCTTTGAATTGTCTAATTATGAAAGGGGTGCATCGCAGTATGAGTAATGGGTTAAGTTGTCCAAAATAATTCCAATACCTTTTCAAATGTTTGTTTGGTACAGTTTTGAATCCACATCAAAATCTGAGGTTACACCAAAATCTTTGCCAGATGTTTTCCACAAAAACAAAAATTATTTATCAAACAAATGTGCAAGGAACTTGATATAAGAAATATTTTGTGTGGAAAACATTTTCTAGCATAACATTTTCTAGCATAACACTCCCCCCAAAATCAAGTTACCTAACAGCAAAACTTGTTTTTCATTAGTCTTCTATCTTTCCCCAAAACCAATCTTATTTTATAAAGTCAACATAAACAACAGATTAAACATTTTTTTCGTTTTTACCCAGGCTTACAACCAGATGATCCGCTAAACAATGATCTATTTGGCGGTTTGCTTGGGGGTGATGGTTTTGGAGATGAGTTTGGCGAAGGTGTGTTGCCACCATTGGAAGAGCTTCCACCTCTCGCTGCTTATGACACATTGGATCCAATCAAGGAGGCTGAGACTAAAGATGATGGTGTAGAGAAGATGGAGACGGATGAGGCTCCTGAGGAAAAAAAGACCACAGAGGAAGCCGAGGATTCCCCTGAGCTTGCAGGTAAGATACTTAAGGAAACGACGTTATCAACACGGACGTCAGATTGCCGGGGCGGGGACAGGATTAAAAACAGTTTGTGGTAATCTTCATCACATTTGCTTTCTTACACAAGCCAAAATTAGCTATACCAATTTTCGGTTGTTCAAAGCTGGAGGGCAGAATTGATACTTCAAGTACTAAACAAAGTAACCGGCGGTAAACCTCGTGCTACCCGCCGGGTTATTTTGAAAGCCCTGTTAACCTAGGGTTAAGCTGATCCAGCTTTGAAAAACTGGCCCTAGAAAAACTTCCGAGCCCTAACGGGAATCGAACCACGTGTAACCTGATAACCGGACAGACACTCTAACCACATGGGGCTTCGGTGACGTAATCGCCAGAGCAAGCAGGTTTCACCTCTTGAGATCGTGGGTTCGATTCTCGCTACGGACTCGTGCATGGCACTTAATGTGAAAAGAGTCGGTCAACGCTCCACCGAAAGTCGTGGGTTTTCTCCGGTTTCCTCCCACAGGGAATAGGGACCTTTCGCTAGCAGGACGGCGACGGCTATTAATACAATGAAATTTATGACAGTGTAGAAAGAAAATGCATAATTAAATGTCCCATGGGAGTTTTAGACGTCGTCCTTGCTCTGTTTACAACAGCAAACCAAAGATTTTCACGTTTTGTACACAACGTCTGCCTTTCAAGCCGCGAGAAGTCGTCCCGCCAAATTGGATTAGTAGAAATCTTCTCAACTATAAACCTCTGTCTTAACCTTCTTAAATTGCAATAAATTCATACAACGGATAATACAAAACATGTTGATCTTAAAGTTACTCATTCGAATGAGTTTATTTTGGCCGTCGTCGTCGCGTTGCCGTCACCTATTTGCTAAAGGTCCCTAATGTTGACAGGGAGGGTTGGGATTATCGCCGTAACTGACCCTTCCATCGTGGCCGTGATCAGACATGAGTCACAAGGTGGCTGACATAGGCGCCCTTAGAAAGTCTTGACTCGATCAGGTTGAGCTGCGTCCCTCGTAATTCAGTTTAATAGCTCTCAGCTGCAAGTAAGTATAGGTTATTTTGAGGCAACGAGGGGATATGTGATTTATTCACCGAGGCGCGCAGCGCCGAGGTGAATAAACACATATCCCCGAGGTGCCTCAAAATAACGTACTTATTTTTCACACTGCGAGGTCGCGTTAATGAGTCAGAAAAGAAATAATTCTTAATGCCATTTTGCCTTCGCGATGTTGTTTTTTCTCATTTTTTGTGCTGCAAAGATATTGCAGGTGAATATTAGAGGGGATTATTAATTGCAGGTGAATATTAGAGGGGATTATTAAACGGAAATTGATTAGAGTGGAATATTGAATATATTCCCCGACAAGAACAAAGGAAACCGAGCAGGGTGAAAAATAAGGATGATTAGCACACCCCACTTACTTAACCATTCTTTCTTTCTATATTCAAGCTGGCGAGGTTGGTATTGGCAATGAAACCACCATTGTTCAAAACAACGAAGAAGCCTTTGTCCTGGAGCCTATTGAAGTGGTGGGCAAAGAAAAACGAAGCAAACGAAAAAGAAAACTTATTGTGGACGATGAAAAAATCCTATCTAGTAGCGCGATCAGTAGCCAACTTGCGGACACAGAAGACATTGTTAAACCCGCGACTTTGGCGCCGCCGACTAAACTGAGAATGAGGCTCAAGAATACCTCCTCCACAGATAAACTTTTCTATAATCCCACACTGGAAAATATAGCACCCCAGCTTCATAAAGCTATCGTTCAAAATTTGACGGCAAAAATCGTTGATGCTCCTGAACCAGAAGAAGGCGAGGAGAAAATGGAATTGGAGGAGATCCAGAGTCCCAGAGACAATGAAAACGAAGAGGAAGTAAGTGATTTCTAGAATACTTTGAAGTTACTAAGAAATTATGCCTTCAAAGAGTGGTCTGAGTGCATGATGTGACAGTGTAAATATATTTCAAAGACATATAGACCCATTGCACTGACGTCACAAATCCTTAGAGTGTCCACAACAACCACATACAGTGCAAAAATTAACCATTTTAATACAAAATTATTCTAAAGTTTTACAAAATTTGCTTTGTTTACAAAAGTTATATATGCATAGATTGCTAATTTGTCCTCCAGATGCATCATCACCGGCGCTGTGACGTCATGTGCAATGGGTCTATTTCTAACTTAGTTCCAATGGTAAATATTTTTGCTTTGATTTTGGTTTTATAGTTCAATGGTAAGTATTTTTGGTTCGATTAGCAGACGCTTAGAAAGTAAAGATTTCAAGACTGGTTCTTATCTTGGGGAAAGATGTTTTATTGGGAGACAAATTTCGAGTACGTTGCAGAAGACTGATATAGAAGATATAATGCAATATATTTATTTTTATGCAGGTTATTGAGAAGATCCGAAGTCCTAGTTCACCACGGAAGAGAAGGTCAAAACGGGCTCATGACAGCAGTGCTTCGCCATCTAAGGGAGGGCCGGAGAATCCTGCAGAAGTAACAAATGATGTCAATTTCGAGCAATTTGGAGGTATGGAAGATCCCATAATCCCCGAGGAAGAAAGTCGAGTTGACTTCGAGCAAAACGCAGAAGAAATCCCCGAATCACAACTCAATGACGAGCAAGCGAGCGGCGAGAAATACGAAGAATTCCAGGCGCGAAGGTGGACCAAACGCACACAGCAACTCATGCACACGCTAAAACGAGAACTCAAGAGACGGGAAAGCATCGCACTCGATGTTCTCAGCAAACAAGAAAGTCGCAAACAAGTCGCATGCAAGTTCTACAGTTGCTTGTTGTTGAAACGAGACAATGAAGTCGAATTGCAACAGAAAGAGGCATTTGGAAACATTTACGTTTCGAAAGGGCCTTCTTTTGACACGGTGTAAAAAACGCGAGAGTATGAATACATTGATATACGACACACTCTTTGTAATCTATGGTTAATCAGTATGGTTTTATGCTCGACACACAGGAATGGTATAGGGTGATTATTGTTGATGATGTAGTAGTTTTTCAATAATTAAGTAAATCCTTGTATTGTATATTTTTCAAAAGGTTTGCTCTTCTGTAAAATACACTGCCTAATTATTACCATTTGATTGAAAAAATGTCAATTTTAACATATAATAGAAAACGTTCTTATTTGTAAATATTGAAATAAAATTCTCTTTTCACGAGCTCGTTTCTTTATTGGAATTCTTAATTCTGCCAATGAAATCCTAGAAAATTATTTCATAGAAATTGTGCTGAAAAAGAAACTGAAAAGAATTTAATGAAGAACTGAATTTGAAACTGACAGATAAGCAGCAACTCTCCAGCGATATATATAGTTCAGTGCCACTGACAAAGAGCTCCCACCCTATCCCCCTTGGGAGACTTTGTCAGCGTCTTTTTGAAAATTTAAAAACCGTTTGCGTGTAAACATTCTAAATCGTTAGTTTTTGATACTTTTATACTTTAGTTCGAAATCAAATATACCATATCTACCTCAGCTGAATTATAGAACGCACAGGAGAATCTCAAAGCTTAGCTTCGTGTAACAAAGGTAGGTTTTAGTGTAGAAATTTAGCCAATTTTGAATTCCTAAAATGAATCTGGCACGTGTGATGGCCATTGTCATTGGCCACGAAGACTACAAAACCAATACCAAAATGGGTTTATAGTTTGCCATTTTGGTATTAAATACGTTTTAGAACGTATATATTTATACGTTTGGACGCTCTGATGTAAATTCATACGACCTGCATTGTTTGAATTGCTGATCTGTCACAATCATTTCAATGGAAAGAAACGGTCAATACAATATGGTATACACTTGTTAAATGATGTAGTCTGTATCATAAAGTACACTCAGATAGGTGATCAAGTGTCGTTTATACAGATTTAATACTTGAAGCATTCTAGTAAACAATTACAATAGCAGCATATATTCAACAGATCTTCAGTAAAATTTGACAATACATGCTTTGTCTGGTGTTGGACAGAGTAAAATAATACAGTAGGTTGCAATGTCAGTTAAAGGTTAACCATTAAATTGCATTACACCCTACTTTATCATTTTCCGCTGTCTAAGGGCCTGTTCATATGGGCAAAAGTTATCCCGGTTAATGAGAAAACTTTTCGACTAGCCAAACACTTTGTAGTTTTGTTCTGTTCGTATGGAGAAATGTTATACCGCTTAATTACCGGGTAAAGTTTTTGGCTGTGATGTAGCACTGAACACCAACTGAATTGAAAAGTTGCTGACACAACAGAAGGTTATCCTGCTAAGTGGGAAAGTCGTGTTCATATGGGCCAAACATCCTGGTCACCGAGATCTCCCCTGTCAACAAGCGAGATCTCGGTACACGGGAAAACTTTTTGTCTCATATGAACGCAGTGTAACTAATTTCATATTATTTTCATACCAAGGTGAGATCTCGCTTGTAAACTTGTTGAAAAATTTTCTCGCTAACCGGGTTAACTTTTGCCCATATGAACAGGCCCTTATGCCAGATGATTGTACTTGTTAAGGGGAGACCACTGGCACTCGATGGGTATCCCAACCTTTGACAAGTAAAATTTCTGCCGTTGGACAGAGTAAAATGATAAAGTAGAGCACAATAGGGTGCAATGTGACTTAATGGGTTAATGCATGTTAATTTTTCCTGTTTTGTTTTGGGATGAATTGTTGATATGGAAATGCTCTTATATGATTGATAATTTATACCACTTACTAATTCCAGGAAGCAATGTCGTCGTTTCATTATGACTTCATCTTGTCCAAACGAAGCTCCCTTGCAAAAGTATGGCTTGCAGCACATTGGGAGAAAAAGCTCAGCAAAGTTCAAATATTTGAGACTAATTTACAATCAATTGTCCAAGACATTCTCCATCCAAAAACGCCAATTGCCTTGCGTACGTCGAGCCATCTTCTCGTTGGCCTGGTGCGGATATATTCACGAAAAGCGAAATACCTGCTAAAAGATTGCTCAGACACGTTGGTTAGTATTAAAGTGGCATTTAGGCCTGGAGTGTCGAGCTTACATAAACCAACCAAGCAAAGGAAATCTGTGAAGGAGATTATGGATTGTCCATTGTTTCTCACAGAGAAAGTTGATTTGCTAGATCAATGGATCCCAGAAGTTAGGTAAGGCTATTTATATGTGTAATTTTGTATAATTTAATCATAAAAATTAGAAAGAAAAAGTCAATTCTGGTAATGTGATGATAGCATTATCATATTTCATGGCTGAAATAATTCATTAATTAAAGCCAGGGCTTACCGATTGAAAGCTTTGCAATAATAAAATATATATTTTTGTCCCCCCCTAAAACAAGTGGTTTGTTTCAAAATAAGCCCCCCCCCAAACACGCATAAGTAATTATGATCAAACATTTCTGTATAATCACGAACAAAAGATTCTCCTCGTAATGTTTTTAATCACCTGAAAATAGAGGGTCCCCCCCCCAAAAAAAATAGAATACATTCTGAATTCTACATTACAGTAAGGTGGGTATGGACCATTAGAAAAATTATGGGGGTGTATGGAAAAATGCTTCAAACGAGGAAATGAAAGGAAAAACATTTGCGAAGAAGAAAGCAAAGAATGAAATACCTTTAAAATTCCACAAAAAAATTACAGCATTTTATAACCAGATGGCTGGAAAAATTTGTGCAAGCTGAAAATCCTCCCTCGAGACTTTTCTATTGGTCTGCCCCTTATTGGAAGTTAATCTCTGGAAAATGGTTCATTTTAGCATTATTGAACTTGATTGTACATTGAATCAGAGCAAAATTGAAGAGATCACACTACGTGAAGAACCAATGAAAGTGAGCGCACTGGAAGATTATTTCGACGACGAAGGCTTTGGAGAGATGGATAATGATAGTTCAGGTTAGTGTGTCTGTGTGCGGCATACACAAGGCTTCAAATTTGCAATATCCTGATACACACAGGATACTGGTTTTAGCCTAAGTGTCAGGCTCTATTTTACAAATTGAACCTGTCACATTAACCTTAATGTGGTTGCTCTTTACCTACAGTAAAGATTAAACTTAGTATCAATCAAAATGTCTTGTCTATCTTAACAGGGAATGGGGGAATATATCGGGGAATATCATTAGAATAAAATATATTTAATCTAAATTAGGTTAAAATAAAAACAAAGATAAAAGTTAAAACTAGAAAATGTACAAAGTCAATAAGACTATAAATGAGTTAAAACTAATTGTCACTCAGGAACTTTTTAAGATTCCTTGTGAATATATGAATAGGCTTTTTATTGGGTCATCTGGTAGGGAATTCCAATCTTGTGATGCTCTACAGTATGTGACTCGTTTTCCCCAATATTTCAATCAGTTCTTACTTTGGGAAGAGTCAGCGGCAAATTACCGTTTCTTGTGTTGTACTCATGCATGGAGTGTAGTTACATATAAAAGGCGTTGTGTCTTGTGAATCTATCAAAGTGTAGCCTGCGAACAGGCTCTCAAGGTGAAATGAGAGCCTGCACTGATGATATACAAGTTTGAATATCTGCCCCGTAACGTTCGTTTTTCCAAATATGGAATGTCTATCCTTATATGGTGTTGTTTACAACTTTTGTGCAAACTAAATTTAGACCGTGCAAACTAAATTTAGACCGTGCAAACTAAATTTAGACCGTACAGTTTATACTGTTTTTCGAAATATAAGATATTCAAGCAAAAGTTTAAATGTTTTGAATACTGTTTTCTCAAACCAGAACATTTCGTGCTTTGAGATAAGATGGCCAAGACCAATTTGATCAGTTAATGTGTTTTTTTATGCATAGTGCTTCAGCAGTTGACATATATAGAGCTCAGCGGAAACATATAACTGAATTATAGCATCTGACCAATGAGAATTTCGCGTCACGATTTGAGACGCAGATATAATTCAAATTCATAATCATCGATGCAGGCTCTCATTTCACCTTGAGTCTTGAGAGCCTGTTCGCAGGCTAATCAAAGTGTTCTGGAATATTTCATTTTATTGCATTGTTGTGACTATCAACACATCGATGTCTAAAACGTCTTCTCGCTAGCGGAATCCACTTCGGCACCGTCATGCCGCCATCAGAAGACAATTTGCGATTTTCTTTGCTTCTGATGCGACGTGCAATACTTATTCGAACAACAAATGCTCCATTGAGCTCCATGGACATGGTCATGCTTGCTTTCATCCTTCTCCAGAATCTGTCAAGCATGGTGACAAACTTTACATACTACAGACTGTGCAGAGACATCTATTCTGTAAATTATCAGGGTTGACAATGTATTAACTCCTCCCTGGAGCCAGAGGGTATTGTTTTCGCAAAAAAACCCCTCTGGGCCAGGGTATGTAACTCCCGAACAGTTTGGATGCCAAAAATATTAATATCAAGGCGGACATTTGCCTCATTGACGCCCGCGCGTGCGTAATTGCGAGTAATTACGATGGCGGCCATTGTATCAATACTGCGGCCGGTCGCTCAAGTTCATGGCCAAAGTGACACAGGAAATATTGCGCGGAATAAAAAGCAAGCCATGTAGACATAAAGAGAATATCCCAAAGAGCATAAAGCCGTGCGTACGTTTGGGAAAAGTCAACTATAACTAGGTAAAATTCGGGTTTATGTGCTAAAAATGATAGTAAATTGCGCGATTTTGGCTTTTAACCCAACAGGGTGCTGCTATCGAATATTTTGGTGATCAAATGTCACAGCACATTTTCCCATGGGAGTAAACAGAATCGCCGATATCATTCTCTTCGTCGCTGGTGTTTACCGTGTTTGTGTCGCTTGACTCTGTCTCTGAGAAATCACTCAAATTAGACTGGGAAACATCACCGGCTCGATAGTGACGTAGCATGCAACGCTATCATCCAAGAAAGCCTGCCATGGATTTCTTTTTCTTTATCGTCGAAAAGCTTTCCGAGGGGGGCATTGGGGTGTATTCAATACCGTAATACCGCAAGCCAATTTTGTCAATAGCCGCACGGTTTTTGAGTCCAAAATTGCAAATACCGTGTACCGCAAGATTCCCAATATCGTAATGCCACAATTTTTGAAGGAAAATACCGAAATACCACAAGAAAAATAAGCTAATACCGCCATACCGTAAATCCCAATGTCCCCCCCCCCTTTCCACCAAAAGGTTGTTGAACGTTGGACTTTTTTCTTTTCCGTCGAGAGCAGAACGCATTGGAATTTTTTCTGCGCTTTTCCAGGAGCCATGTTCAGTTACCAATTTGAAAGGAATAAATAGAGAATAATACATGGGTGCGCGGAAATACCAGATTTATTTCGAGTGTTGAACATGTTCAACACGAGAAATAAATCTGGTAATTCCAAGCATTTTTCTGTTTATTTTATAAAGCACAGTCTTTGAAAAGCAATAATTTTTACAGAAAAGCGATAATTGGAAAAGCGATAATTTTCACATATGAAATTATCATAAATAATCTCACATGTGAGATTGCCACTTTTATCAGTGCTCGAAATCTCTTTCAAAAACTCATTAATAATTCATGAAGCAGTTATCCAATCTTGAGTAAGAAATTAGTCACGTGCATACGTCTTTATACCAGCTAAAGAACACTTTAACAAAAGGCCATTGTTATGCAAACTATATAAAGATTTTTATATAAAGATTTTTATATAAAGATTTTTATATAAAGATTTGACTTATTATGCATACGTTTTTGAAGTCATTTAAAAAACTCGCGGGTCGTGTTTTATTAGGTCTAAAGCCACTCGCGCTGCGCGCTCGTGGCTTTAAACCTAATAAAACACTCCTGCTCGTTTTTTAAATAGTACATAAAGCACTATACTTTATATAATAAATCCAGTTCAAATGACACGAGAGGGACTTCGTGAACACTTTGAATTTGATACATGCTGTATTTCCGTCTCAAAGCATAGACTGACGACAGGTGTTGTCAATTTAAACAACTTTCGCGGAAAAATATTTAGCCGTTCTAACATTTTTGCTCGTTTTAAAATTTCCAGAAAATATTTGCAGATTCCGAAAAATTTCTAAGAAATATTAGTATAATAAGCAATAAAAATCCCATAATTGCTATATTTTTCATGTGATGTAACCTTAGATCTGTTTCATACGTCGAATGGATCTATTCCCTAACGAACAAAATTTTGATCAGGACAGTCTAGACAGAAATTTCATCATAGCTTGAAAGAACATCACAAAGTTAGTAATGTTCCGAAGTTTCGTTGCGAAATGTTGTAAAATGCGGATAATATAGCCCTGCGAAGTTTGCCGTTTTTCAGTCATTTTGTATTACGCACGGGAAATTGATACCGCTTTCTGAAAAAAAGGTATCAATTTCCCGTGCGTAATACAAAATGACTGAAAAACGGCAAACTTCGCAGGGCTATATTATCGGCATTTGACAACATTTCGCAACGAAACTTCGGAATATTACTAATTTTGTGATGCTCTTTCAAGCTGTAGTGAATTGTTTGTCTAGACTTGTCCACATCAAAATTTTGTTCATTATATGGAATAGGTCCATCCAGTTCAAATGACACGAGAGGTACTTCACACTTTGAATTTGGCACTGCTGTATTTCCGTCGCAAACGTTCACATCGCGCATAGAGTGACGACAGGTGATGTCAATTTAAACTACAACTTTCGCAGAAAAATATTTAGGGACCGGTCATTATTTATGGCGGGGGGTGGCACCGAAGAGAAAAGGGTTGGGTAAACAAAATTTTGAGTAACTAAAAGGTTGGGTAAATGAAAAACAAAACAACTCAAGGGTTGGGTAATAAAAAGTTATTGTCATTTCCAAAGCATGACTCGCTTAAATATTGGAGACTGAAAAGCAATGTCAACAGTCATATGTCAATACAATATGTGAATCAATCAGAGTCACTATATTGATCATTTTCCGATTTGTTGGGAGACCAATGGTGTCTCCAAAGAAAGTACATGTACATACAATATGAAAGTTTAGTTATCAAACTTGTGTCACAGAAGTGGTAAAGGACATGTGTGACAACTGAATAGTATTCTTTTGTAAAGGTTTTGGCCAGGGGTGGGTATTTATTTTTTAATTGATATTTGAGGTTGGGTAATCAAATTGTTTGCTTTTTAATGGTTGGGTCAGCAAAATTTTTACCAGGAAAAACATTTTTCTTCGGTGCCACCCCCCACCATAAATAATGACCGGTCCCTTAGCCGTTCTAACATTTTTGCTCGTTTTTTAAAATTTCCAGAAAATATTTGCAGATTCCGAAATTTGTTCATTAGGAAATAGGTCCATCTAATTCAGACGAATTTAGCTAATTCGTTATCAAATTCATCAATTGGTCTTGTTTCACTACTCGCACAATCGTCGAATTCATTTCAGACGAATTAAATTGAACGAATTAGCCTTTTTCACGCCGCCATTTTTGGGTGGCATTTCAGCGGAAGTCTGCAAGTTATGTTCACATAACAGCGACTTTTTATAATTTTTAATTGACAAATGATGGTAAATTCGCTTTGTAAATGGTTAGTTTATTTTGAAAAATTGTTTTTCACACTGTTTTAATTGTTTGCATTGGTTAACCGCGTCATCGTTTCATACGACGTCGTGTCGAATTAAATGCATAAATTATGTTCAAGTTTGTTTCTCTCTTCCTGGCCTCATGGTTTTTATTTCTGGCTAATCCATTATTTTATTTCTGGCTAATCATGAAAAGAATTCGTCTGAATTAAATTCGCCGTTTGAAACGAAACCATTTTAATGTCGACCAATTGACGAATTTAATAACGAATTCAATTCGTCTGAATTAATAAATTCGCCGTATGAAACGGGCTTCACACTTGCACGTACATAAAACACTAATAGACGTAAATGGATTTAAATATACGTAAATGGATTTATATATACGTAAATGTATATATATATATATATATATATATATATATATATATATATATATATATATATATATATATATATATATATATATATATATATATATATATATATATATATATATATATATAATTTCGCTTACCTCAAAATTCCGCAACAGTCTGTTTCATCAGTAAAGAATCATACATTTGAGATATACATTTGCTCTATCTTTATGATATTGAGCACTCTTTGCGTTTCGTATACACAAACCTACTCGTATATATATATATATATATATATATATATATATATATATATATATATATATATATATATATATATATATATATATATATATATATATATATACGTAAATGGATTTCTCGAGCGAAATCTACAAACTGCAGCTTACTACTATAATACTTTTTATGACATTGATGTATATATAATAATAATATGACTATCTAATTCCACACAAGATACTGTATTGGGTGATTAAATTTTCGAACATTCCTGGAGTATAACCCGCAATGCCAACTGATCACGTACTCATATCCATTGCTAGCCAATGTCAAGCAAGTATCTTTGGCACTCTTAAAAAAGGGTTTCCGACCCATACCTAATGTGAATCGTAAACAGAGCACTTATATATTCGAGTACTGAGTGATAAATGACAATGTTTGGCTTTGTTTATGCATTCAGAGTTAACGCTCACATCAGAAAGTCAATAGCAAAATGGCTCTACTAAAAGCGAGCTTGTGTAACGGTTCTATACTCTTACTGCTTTTTATCACATGTGTTTGTGTGTACTGTGGTCCAACAGAGCAAAGCCTTCGAGGGAATGAGTCCGGTCCATTAAAGCCGACTAATCTCAACGAAAGGTCGCGATGGCTTCACCATGCAAGGTTTCGCCGAGACTCGTCTAGTGCTGTTACGAAGTGTTCCGACTCATTGTTTTGGGAATAAGACAACATTTGACCATTTAGGTTGCTACTGCGACGAAGCTTGCTATAAAATTTTCTCTGATTGCTGTCCAGATTATGAAAAGCAATGCGGTCGACAGCAATTGCTCGAGGATAAAACTTCAGTGTGGAAATGTGTCGAATTTGAAGTGAAAAGATTGGACTGTTTTATGATAGGAGCAATTGGAGTTTGGATGATTTCTAAATGCCCACCAGACTGGGCTTTTGACGAGCTGAAAACAAAATGTGAAAATGCCTCGCTGTCGTTTTTCGGCTTTCCCGTAAAGGACTTTATTCCGGTGGTAGGAGCGAAAAACGAGACATATCGGAATAAGCATTGTGCTCTGTGTAATGGCGTGGAAAATCACACTTCATGGGATGTTGAAGTTTTTACAAACGTCACACCCCCCAGTTGGTTCGACCTGGATTCTAAGCTGAAGTTTATCGAAGACAATGGGGGTCGGATTAAGGATGTTCGACCTGGTCAGGGACAACCTTGGAGATTCTGTTTTGGAAGGAATTTTAAAGGCAACTGTAGTTCCACGAATCATTCACTTTACAAGGCTTGTGTTGAAGGCCCCGTTGAAGTGGTTGGGATTTATTCAGGTTCTTACTTTAAGAACCGTGCATGCGCAGAATGTAATGGATATGATAATATCGACTCTTATGGTATAGAGCAAAGCTGTGCTAGGCCTGTACCCCCCGGGTCTGGACCCCCCGTGTCTGGAACCCCCGGGCCTGGAACCGCCGGGCCTACAACCACCGAGTCAGCACGACCTGCCGCCAATGGGTTAAACTTCGTGCTTATACCCGGAAAACCTGGTGTAATATCAACAGTTAGAGAAAAATGTCCCGTTGGTACTATTTATGATACTACTTTGAAGTTATGTCGCAAAGGGTATATTATTTCATCCAGTGGTAAACTAACTAACCAGTTTTTGGTAGTATTATGGATCAAACTCATGTCTCGAAGATGGATAACAATTTATTCAACTGTAGAAAATAATTTTAAATCAGCGTTACTTTGCCGGTTTTGGCTTCAAGACAAACAAATTTCACAAATTACATTCTTCATGCAAAACCGTAAACGGTCGCTGCGTGATTTAGTCGCTGCAACATTTCGTTTAACATTGACGCCATTTCAAAGCTTACTAATGGCTAACCAATACAAGTCCATCTTTAATGTTACAAACCAAAACACTGCTTTTTTGGAACTTTTAAACTTTACAGGAAACTTTACTCTATCTTGGGATGAAAACGTTTTGTTTGTGATCAAACTGACTTCGAAACAGCTTTCATGCTACGACGAAAAGAAATTTCAATCACTTGAATACAAACTCGATAAAGAAAATGGAAGCTTGGTCGTAAATAAAACAGGAAAAATATTTTCATTTGAGGATTACACTTTAATTAAAGAAGAAGACGGAAATACTACATTATGTCGCAAACTGCTGCTTTCAGAATGCAACGAAGGTGCATTTGTGCCTTTAAGTCCAGACGAGTACGTGGTCTTCCCTAATTTGACAGTTTATTACAATGCAACAGAGAGCGTTTTCAATTTTGGCGAGTATCTAATAAGTGAAAACAAAGGGACTAGCAACACTTCTAATGTAACTCAGAATTCTCTTTTATCAAGTAACTCAACGATTTCTGTTTGTTTACCGTTTAAAGATACCTTTATCAAAACGGAAAAATACAGTACGAACACGACAAGTTACGCGCTATGGATTTTGACATTAATTGGTTTCAGTGTTTCGATTATTTGTTTAATGTTACTTTTGATAACTTATGGATTATTCCAAGAATTAAGGGCAGTCTCAGGAATGAATTTAATGAACTTAAGCTTGTCATTGTTGTTATCACATTTCACATGGTTGATAGGCATGAGTCATTTCACAGAGACAAAAACATGTACAGTTTTGGCGATTTTTGAACACTATATCTTTTCCAAGTATCGTTCGTAGCAATGTCCGTCATCTCCTACCATTCTTCCTACGTTTTCTCGCAACCTTTCGCTGGAAGAGTTGCGAACAAGTCTTGGCGCAGGTTTATCAAGTATTCAGCATTCGTGTGGCTAGCGCCTGCATTTAAATGCCAAAGTGGCGTTTCTCAAATACAACTCCTAGCTACAGGCAGCCATTTCAATTCCTTTAGTACTGGTGTGACATGGTGAAATTTCCTTATACCACAAACTATTCTGCAAGCGAAATTTTCAATTAACTGCAGTTTCTCAATGTTACACTTTGAGGTGTTACTCCATACATTGGAACAATAAAGTCTACTGAAAACCAAACTGTTTATGATAGTAATCAGAGTACATTTGTCGAATGCATGCTTCACACGATTAATTCGACCCAGTATGGACATACATGCACGTGGAGACGGTCTTATTAATATGGTGGTTGTAGGTTAAATTAACATCCAGAGTCACGCCAAGATCCTTTGCCATTTCGATAGGGTTTATTTCTTTTCCCAATAGTGTCAGGGAAAGGTCCTGTAGTCTAGATAGCATTTGTCTGCTCCCAAACACCAATAACTTGGTCTTTTCAGGGTTCAGAAGCAGGCAATTGCTAAAACACCAATTTCGGACTTTAGTCAAATCCTCGTTAATATTCTCTATAGCAAAAGATTTACTTTGAGCTTTGAAGGAGTGCAGTAGACCTGTGTCTTCTACGTAGCAATGTGGATCACAGTTTTGAGGTGCAGTTGAGAGGTCGTTGACATAGATATTAAAGAGTAAAGGCCCAACGATACTTTCCTGCGGCACGCCGTTTGTCAAAGGCAAGGCATCCGATACTGTACTGTTTATTCGTACAACCTGCTGTCTGTTGGAGAGGTAACTACTGAATCATTGTAAACACGATTGTGAACCACCCATATCTTGTAACTTTGACATCAAAAGATTATGATTAACACAGTCAAATGCTTCGCTCATATCCAATAAGACCAGAGATGTAACTTTCTTTTGGTCTATAGCATTTAGTATGGAGTCTGTGATATTAATTAACAAAGTTTTGGTCGAGAATCCACGTTTGTTACCACTTTGCTTGCTTGAAAGCCGCTTTTTCAACGTAAGATATTCTACAAATTGATTATAGGCAACCCTTTCGCAAAACTTTGATAAAACAGGTAATAATGATATCTGTTATTATTCGCCACTTCCGGGTGATCCTTTCCCTTTCGAATTGGTGCAACTTCGGCAATTTTCCAAACTATAGGATAGGCTGACGTAGTTAGTGAAGTGTTAATAATTGATGTTATTACTGGTAAAATGGGCACAATGCAATCCTTAATCACTCGAATGGGAATTTTGTCAACGACCTTAACATGTGTATGCGTAATGTTTAACTTTTGGATTTGTTACCAGTTTAAATTTGTTTTACACAAGATCGCTTTCGATAGATTCGAATTGGGTATATGCATAGGTGTGGTTGGGTTGCTCTCTTACTTACCGTCTCATTTCTCGCTTCGTGATACAACGTGACACGAGAAAGGGCGTGCGTTGCCCACAGTTATCGCTTCTTGAAATGTTTATCGGTATTGTGACAATGATAATAAAAGCATTTATTTAAACACGACAATAATATTACAGCATAGCTGATGTGATCATGTGACTAATACTATACACATTATAACTAAACTAATAATAAAATGTGGCTAATTTGAACTAAATTAATATTTCACACAATTGCAGACAACAGAAATCACATTAATTGTTTTTGTTTGTGGAAACACCACGTAAATTTATTACTGCAGTAATAAATAATAAATTACTGCAATAAATAATAAATAAATTATTATAAATAATAACTCATTGTATTATTTATTTATAAATAATAAATTAATTTATTACTGTATAGTAATAAATTTACGTGGTGTTTCCACAAACAAAAACAATTATATTTTATCGCCATGCAAACATTCAAAGAACTAATTATTAGAAATCACATTATTTTAACAGCACTCAAAACACTAATATACCATGACGTAAACGGATTTCTCGAACGAAATCCACAAACTGCAGCTTATACTGTAGTAGTTTTTGTGTACATTGATATAATAATATGACTATCCAATTCCACACAAGGTACTGTATTGCATGGGTGGCTAAATTTTCGAATACTATAGGAGTATAACCCGCAATGCCAACTGAACACATTTATCAGTGGCCATTGCTGGCCAATGTCAAGCAAATATCATTGACAATCGTGTGATGTTACTCTGAGTGTATATCCACACCAGGCAGACTTGAAAAATATTCCTGGCCACGGTGGGAATCGAACCTACGACTTTTCCAAAGGTCGTAGGTTCGATTCCCACCGTGGCCAGGCATATTTTTCAAGATGCCCGGTGTGGATATACACTCAGAGTAACATCACACAGTACATTGCACCAACACAGCAAATATCATTGACATTGTTAAAAAATGGTTTCCGACCCATACCTAATTTAGGCGTTTATATATTCAAGTAGTGATACATGACAGTGTTTGACTTTGCGTGCATTCAGAGTTAAAGCTCATGTCAGAAAGTCAATAGCAAAATGGCTCTACCAAAAGCGAGCTTGTCTAGCGGTTCTCTACTCTTACTCCTTTTTATCACATGTGTTTGTGTGTACTGTGGCCCAACAGAGCAAAACCTTGGAGGGGATGAGTCCGGTACATTAAAGCCGACTAATCTCAACGAAAAGTCGCGATGGCTTCACCACGAAAGGTTTCGCCGAGAATCGTCCGGTGCTGTTACAAAGTGTTCCGACTCTCAATGTTTTGGGAATAAGACCACATTTTTTACCTATCCTTTCGGTTGCTACTGCGACGAAGCTTGCTATAAACTTTTCTCTGATTGTTGTCCAGATTATGAGAAGCAATGCGGTCGACAGCAATTGCTCGAGGATAAAACGTCAGTATGGAAATGTGTCGAATTTGATCTGAAGAATTGGGGCTGTGGCATGTTACTAGAAGCGAGTGGGGTTTGGATGATTTCTAAATGTCCAGCAGACCGGCGTCGTGACGAGCTAAGAACAAAATGTGAAAATAACACGCTGTCGTTTTTCGGGTATCCGGTAGAGGACTTTATTCCGGTGGTAGGAGACAAAAACGAGACATATCGGAATAAGCATTGTGCTCTGTGTAATGGCGTGGAAAATCACACTTCATGGGAAGTTGAGGCTTTTACATACGTCATACCCCCCGATGAGTTCGACCTGGATTCTAAGCTGAAGTTTATCGAAGACAATGGGGGTTTGATTAAGAGTGTTGTACCTGTTCGGGGACAACCTTGGAGATTTTGTTTTGGAAGAAGTTTTAAAGACAACTGTAGTTCCACAAATCATTCACTTTACAAGACTTGTGTTGAAGGTCCCGTTGAAGTCGTTGGGATTTATGAAGGCTATTACTTTAAAAACCGTGCGTGCGCAAAATGTAATGGATATCATAATATCGACTGTTATGCTATAGACACAATGTGCGATAGGCCACAACCCCCTGGCCCCGACCTTGAAGGATTTTCCATCTTGTTTAACTTAAGAAAAACGAGTGAAATATCAACAATTACTTTTGCTTGTCCCCGCGATACTGTTTATGATACAACCTTAAAGTTCTGTCGCGAAGGGAATGGTTTTTCATCCAGTGGTCAACTGACCAGCGAGTTTTTGATTATATTATGGTTCAAACTGTCTCGAGGATGGATAGCAATTCATTCAACCGTCGAAAATAATTTTAAATTAGCGTTAATTTCACGGTTTTCGCTTCAAGACAATCAAATTTCAAAAATTACATTCCACATGCAAAACCATGAACCACCGCCGTATGATTTTGTCGTTGCAACATTTCGTTTAACATTGACGCCATTTCAAAGCTTGCTAACGGCTAACCAACACAAGTCCATCTTTAATGTTACAAACCAGAACACTGCCTTCTTGGAACTTTTGAACTTTACAGGAAACTTTGCTTTATCTTGGAAAGAAACTACGTTTATTGTGGTCAAGATGACTTCGAAACAGCTTTCATGCTACGACGAAAAGAAGCTTCAATCACATGAATACAAAATCGAAAATGGATTCTTGGTCGTAAATAAAACAGGAAAAATATTTTCACTTGAGGATTATACTTTAATTAAAGAAGACGGCGGAAACGTTACATTATGTCGCAAACTGCTGCTTTCAGATTGCAACGAAAGTTCATTCGTGCCTTTAAGTCCAGACGAATACGTGGTCTTCCCTAATTTGACAGTTTATCACAATGCAACAGAGAGCGTTTTCAATTTTGGCGAGTATCTAATAAGTGAAAACAACGGAACTAGCAACATTTCTAATATAACTCAGAATTCTATTTTATCAAGTAACTCGACGATTTCCGTTTGTTTACCGTTTAAAGATACATTTACCAAAAACTGAAATAAAAGTTATACGCGCTACGGATTCTGACATTATTTGGTTTCAGTATTTCGATTATTTGTTTAATATTACTTTTGATAACTTATGGATTATTCCAAGAATTAAGGGCAGTGTCAGGAATGAATTTAATGAACTTAATAAGCTTGGCGATGTTGTTATCACATCTCATATGGTTGATAGGCATCAGTCATTTTACGGGGACAAAAACATGCACAGTTTTGGCGATTTTTTAACACTATCTTTTCCAAGTATCGTTCGTAGCAATGTCCGTCATCTCCTATCATTCTTCCTACGTTTTCTTGCAACCTTTCGCTGGAAGAGTTGCCAACAAATCTTGGCGGAGGTTTGTCAAGTATTCAGCATTCGTGTGGCTAGCGCCTGCCATATTTGTCGCAATTTGTGTCACCTTGGACAAAAGTGAGACATTCGTTGTGGACTATGGGACAAACTGTCGGTTGGGAAGTGTAAACGCTAAGCTGTATTTATTTCTATTACCCCTGGCTATATTACTGCTCTTTAATGTCATCACTTTCATCCGTACAGCACTCAGTTTATATCGTCATGAGAAGGGAAGACCTCTGACCTTACAACGCCAGGAAAGAAAACAAAATCTTCTCATCTGCACAAAACTTGCGACGCTGGTCAGATTTCCATGGCTGATTGCGTTTATTGGCATCCTGTTTCCCAATGTCGAAGCATTCCCAATACTTGTTTGTTATTTTTGTTTGTTTACAAGGATTGTACATTGGAATGGCATTTCTGTTTAACAAGAAAACTCTGAAACTTTACAAAGATCGTTGGAACATTGGCTTCAGAGGGAATGCATCTTCTCACATTCGTGCGCAAACTTTTGAAATGACATAAGGAAATGAGTGTATTACAGTCAAAATACAAAAACTGTCCCAGGACCCAGGTCCGCATTTTTAGTTGTCATTTTCTGCTCTGTTTTACTGTAACGACTATACGACTGTGTTTTTTTGGGTTTCTTTTTGTATTCTTACTATTACATTGTGTGGAAAGGTTTTGCTTTTACGAATGGTAAAATATCTTTTTTATAAGTAAGTGTCTGATTGGTTGATCTCTTGGTTGGTTGATTGAACACATCAATTGAACAGTTGGTTAATTGATTGATTGATTTAATTATTTAGTCGTTTTCCGTTTACTGTTTGGTAAACTTAACTAACTTATCGAATATTGTTAAGAAAGATCCGCAGTATAGTTGGTCGTAGCTGCTGCGGAAATCCTGCCTTGATTTATATATATATATATATATATATATATATATATATATATATATATATATATATATATATATATATATATATATATATATATATATATATATGTATGTATATATATATGTATATATATGTATATATATATACATATATATATATATATACATATATATATACATATATATATACATACATATATATATATATATATATATATATATATATATATATATATATATATATATATATATATATATATATATGTTTTCGTTTATTGTTGTAACTGATCTATTATATACAATTAAAAAGGATAAATACACTTAATGAATACTATCCAAGGGAAAAGGAACTTAACGAATACTATCCAAGGGGAAAAAGCTGAGAAACAAAATGTTCGAAAGGCCTTAAGGGTAAATGGTTACACATCTGCTTTTATAAACAGTGTTGCAAGTAAACCCGAAAGTTCGAACAAACCAACTTCTGTTACTGAGCCCAAAGGCTATGCATGTATCCCATGTGTCAAAGGCATTTCTGAGAGAGTCAACCGAATCTTGACTGGTGTCAATATCAGAACAGCGTATAAGCCACTAACAACATTGGGCGGAATATTCAAAAAACCGAAAGACAGACCATCAGAAACTCAAGTCAAAGGCATTGTTTACAAATTCAAATGTAAAACATGTAATTTCCTTTACATTGGAGAAAGTAAAAGATCATGGAAATCCCGTTGGGCTGAACATAAACCGGGAACAAGACCGCAGATTGAGTCGGCTATAAAGGAACATGCAGAACGAACCGGACACGAAGTATGCTCTGGGATGTAGAAATTTTAGAGAGGGGCGTACATAATTATGATAAACGTATATTTCTCGAGTCATTACACTCAACAAAGGAGACAATGACAGTTAATGAGCGTAGAATTTTCCCGCAAACTTATTTGCCTTTGTTGCATACCTTGTAAATTTGCATACGCTAAGTATTTAAAACTTGTTCAATCAACTTGACATTAGTTAACTCTGAGGAAGGTCGCAGTTAGTGACCGAAAATTCAGTATACTTTTTTACCTTTTTAATTGTATATAATAGATCAGTTGCAACAATAAACGAAAACATGTCTCTTACTGATCGCACAACCAGCATATATATATATATATATATATATATATATATATATATATATATATATATATATATATATATATATATATAATAATAATAACAGTAATAATAGTAACTATATATATATAATAACTATATATATATATATATATATATATATATATATATATATATATATATATATATATATATATATATATATATATATATATATATATATATATATATATATATATATATATATATATATATATATATATATATATATATATATCAATAATAATCGTTGATTCAAACAAAAGTATGAACGCACTGAGTAGTTTGAAGAGTGCTCAACACCAATATTAGTAGAGCTTTATAATTGTTGTCTTTTCTACTTATTAATTAATTAATTTTAAGTAGAAAAGACAACAATTATATATATATATATATATATACATATATATATATATATATATATATATATATATATATATATATATATATATATATATATATATATATATATATATATATATATATATATATATATATATATATATATATATATATATATATATATAAAGCCAGGTTTCTATATGGTCGTAACGGTCGTAAAGATAGAGTCGCTATCTTTCTCAACGGCCAGATTGTAATAGTTTTTACCTGTAAACCACATATAAATCATAAGTATATTCTCCATTTCTAATCGGCCTTTCAGTTCTAAATTGTAATTGTAATCGGCTGTTGAGAAAGATCGTGACTCCATCTTTGCGACCGTTTCGACCATATGGAAACCACGCTGAGCGTCCAATATCGAGGTCTGTTATATAACAACGACCTTATGTTTTACTTTTGGATTTGTTACCAGTTTAAATTTGTTTTACACAAGATCGCTTTCGGTAAATTCGAATTGGGTATATGTACTTACCGTCTCATTTCTCGCTTCGTGATACAACGTGACACGAAAAAGGGCATCCGTTGCCCACAGTTATTGCTTCTTGAAATGTTTATGTGTTGTGACAATAATAAAAGCATTTATTTAAACAATATAAAAATATTACAGCATATAGGCATAGCTAATGTGGTCGTGTGACTAATAGTATGCATTATAACTATAAATTAATAGTAAAATGTGGCTAATTTGACTAACTAAATTAATATTTCACATAATTACATGCAACAGAAGTCACATTATTTTAACATAATAACAGCCCTTAAAACACTAATATACGATGACGTTAACGGATTTCCCGAACGAAATCTACAAACTGATGCCAACTGATCACACTCATGCATGGCCATTGCTGGCCAATGGCAAGCAAATATCGTGGACATTGTTAAACTGAAAATGGTTTCCGACCCATACCTAATTTAGGCGTGAACCCTCAACAGAGCGCTTATGATCGAGTACTGATAAATGGCAGTGTTTGAGCATAGCCTATCGTAGGGAAAACCCCCAATAGCCACAGAAACTATCCTAAGTTCACAGTTAATATCGATGTTGATAATGGATAGCCAGCTCTTTCCGTGCTAAACTCCTTTTCTCACCGATAGTGGTTCAGTGTTAGGGAAGCCTCACATATCGATTTTTTCCACGAGAAACGTCATATGTTCGTTTGTAATGTAGCCGACGTTTCTCTGTAAATATCATGGAAAAATTCGATAGTTTTTTCGAAAGCCTTAACATTTCGAAATCATCTTTACAGAGTTTAAAAAAGAAAACAACTTGATACAAACACCAGTCTATAGGCCTACATTCGTAATACCATACCTGTTCTACACGTATACATTTATATTATTACGCCTTCCTTGCATTGAAAACACTCAAATTTCAAGAAAACCGCGCTAAAATTATCGATATTTCATGCAAAAAAAAGTTGTTTTGAGAAACATTGGAAATTTTGAAGTTTATATATATTAATAAAAAAAGATATGTCAGCAGAAGATGACATATTACTCGCGGAAGCATCGCCAATAGCCGACCGTAGAAAATAGTAGAAAATTACCTTATGTGTACTACATTGAACAAAATATCGATAACTATGTGTGACGTTTCTAAGGGGGGTGGGGGGTCTCCAGAGAAACGAACATATGACGTTTCTCATGGACGAAATCGATATGTGAGGATTCCCTTAACAACAGTAGAAAATGAAAACTAAACTAACTTTATAGTTCTGATATTCATTTCTAAATTGAATTTGGAGGTCCATTGTGTTTGGTCGAGTCAGAAACTCTGAAAGAACTCTCACTTATACGTCAGAGGTAGACGAATGTACAAATAAAAGGCACTTGTCATTGTTGGCACAAACACACGGGCTATACACTGCTGCATTACCACTTCATTTGCAATATTCTTCAGTCGACATGTTTGCTGACGACACTACTATGTCTGCATGTGCTCACTATTTGGACATTTCTTCGATGAATGATGGTTTAAATCGTGACCTTCATGCCTTTAATGAATGGTCGTTGCAAAATAAAATGTTCATAAATGCACGAAAAACAAACTCCATGCTTGTGACTGGAAAAAGGATACCAAAGAAGTTGGACTCACAGAATCACTCATGTCTGCAGCTCAAGATAGATGGCGTTGATGTCAGCGATGTTGCCTCGAAAAAACTTTTAGGAATTACCTTTGATTCTAAAATGAGTTATGAAACGCATGTCGAGGAACTAGCAAAGAAGATTTCAAAACGATTAGGATTGCTTACAGTAAACATATCAGTCCTTATCTCAAGCAACATCAACGAGAAACATTTTATACTTGCGTTATCAAGCCCACTCTCGTGTACGCGGTAGTGTGGTCTGGGACAGCTGTAATATCAATTGTCCTCAAAGACTTTTTAAACTTCAGAAGAGGGCGGCAAGAATTATTCTAGATGTTGATAAAAGAACGCCTTCAATTGAACTTTTTAATAAGCTAAATTGGCTGCCTTTGTCGAAACAGTCTCTTATAAAAAGAACATCTATAACTTTTAAAAGAGTAAATACAGATTATGTTATCCCTGAATATTTAAGCACTATATATATATATATATATATATATATATAGCTTAAGATTTTGGTTTACGAAACACAAACGGTGCTCAATACCATATAGATAGAGCGTAATATAGTTTTTCGTTTTACCTCAAAAAACCACAACAGTCTGTTTCATCCGTATAGGAATCATCAGGTGGTGAATAATTTCGAAATTATTCACCACCTGATGATTCCTATACGGATGAAACAGACTGTTGTGGTTTTTTGAGGTAAAACGAAAACTATATATATATATATATATATATATATATATATATATATATATATATATATATATATATATATATATATATATATATAAGTATATATATATATATATATATATATATATATATATATATATATATATATATATATATATATATATATATATATATATATATATATATATATATATATATATATATGCTAGTAAGGAACTCAGATATTCATACTATAGAAATACTCGCTTTAATAATATGAACATGGTGTGCCCAAAATACACTAGAGAGACTGAAGGTGGGCGCACTTTCACCGTTAGAACTATTAAATATTGGAACGCCCTCGATGTTACATTGCGCATGCGCAAACAGAAATGTATATCTACGTTTAAACGCAGCTTGTATACTAAAATTTTAACGGACCAGAAGTCCGCCATGCGTTTAGAAATTGCTTAGGTGGGTGATGGGTTATTTTATTTGTAAATATAGTAGTTTTAGAGTTTTTATAAGTTTTAGTATTGTATTCAACCTCGTACCCAGGGCTTTTTGCTTCCTTGTTCGGATGGTCAGCGAAAAAGGCCCTGGCATCGGCTGGTCTGTTTTGCAATCTGATTGGTCAATGATTTTGAATATAATTATTCAATATACGGGGGAAATAATTATTATTTTGGTGAAACGAGAGTGGAGTGACAAATTTATCATTAGTTCTTGAAGGACTAAAGTATTGAGTAAATTAAAATTAAGTCTTTGTACAGTTATACAGACGAGTATTTGATTCGTTTCAACGTACATTTCTCACATGCGTTGTTTATACATCCACG